GCCCCCCCCCCCCCCCCCCCCCCCTCGACCATGGAGATCGAGTACACCGTGCCGCTCGACAAGCTCTCCGGCGGCGAGCTCCGGTCCTTGCTCGAAGCGAACGGCTTCCCCGGCGGCTCGCGGCGCCTGGCGCGGACCGACCTCGCGGACATCGCCCGGGGCGCGGGCCTCGAGGGCCTGACGCTCCGGGGCCGCGACGCCATCGACGCCAAGGCGCGCGAGCTCCTCTCCGTCGTCGGCCGGCTCGACCGCGTCGTCGCGTTCCGCCCCGGCGCGAAGCTCGGCCTCGAGCTCAAGCAGGTCGGCGAGTGGGCCGTCGTCATGGCGGCGCCGGCGGCCGTCGAGTCCAAGGTGCGCCTGGGCGACGTGCTCGCGGCCGTCGACGGCGCCGACGTCCTCCTCGAACCCTACGACGACATGTTCCGCCGCGTCGTCGCCGCGACGCGATCGCCCGTGCCCTTCACGCTCACGTTCCGCCCAGGGCGGGAAAAGGGTGATTCGACGTCGCTTCAACGTGAGTGTTCCGCGCGCGCGCGTTCCGGGGGAAACATCTACGCGTCGAGAGCGCTCCGAGAGATGATCGCTCGTCCAGAAATCAGCCGAAACGAGCGGAAAACGATCGAGATAGGAGCCTTCGACGTTGGGAATTTCGCACCCTTTTCCTGCACAGGTTCCGCCGCGCGCCCTTCCACCGGGGCTGGCTCTTCAAGCGCGCGCGGGCCAAGCCCGGCAGGCGGTCGCTCTTCTCCGGCGCGTCGGGCTGGAAGAAGCGCTACTTCGTGCTCGCGTACGGCGTCCTCGCGTACTACGACGCGCCGCCGCTGGACCCGCGCAAGGCGCCCCGGGGCTTCTTTTCGCTCGAGTCGTCCGAGGACCACGCGTGCCACCTCGCGGCCGCGACGCCCGAAGAGATGGGGACGCGCGCGCCGCGGTGCGCCGGCCTCGTGATCCGCAAGGGCGACGACGCGCTCGCGCTCAAGGGGCCGGACCTCCACAACTGGGCCGCGCTCCTCTCCGTGGCCCTCGCGCACGCCAACGGCGGCAGCGACCTCCTCCGCGACGAGGAGACGGCGCGCCAGGCCGTCGCGCGCCAGGACCGCATCGCGCGCGAGGACGCGCGCGTCGCGAGCGTCCGGCGCCGCGCGGAGCGCAAGGCGGGCCTCGTCGCCGTCCGCGCCGCCCGCGCGGGCGGCGACGACGCGGACCCGCCCGCGGACCTCGGCGCGCTCGCGGCGGACCTCGCGGGCGCGGGGCTCGGCGCGCCCGCCGCCGCGCGGCGCGGCCCCGCGGCCGCCGCGGCGCCGCCGCCCGCGCCGCCGCCGTCGCGCGCGGCCACGGGCGACGGCGCGAGCGACCTCGAGTTCGGCGACAACGTCCAGGCGCTCCTCGCGCCGTCG